GCAAGTTCAGACACACCTTCCTGATTTAGATTTCTTTTCATTCACTTTATAAAGCAAAAAGAAATACAAATGCACAAATATCATATTCTACATTCATGAAAAGTTCCATATTTTGGAACTCAGAAAAAACAAAAAGTTAAAACTCTTATGACAGCATTAACATGGTCACATTGTAACATTTTATGATCTACTTTATTATAAATAAGATAAATCACATTACATTTTACAGTGAACAAAAATAAAGGAACATCTGTAGTGTGACTGAATAAGTATTACTAGAGGACCTTAACGTTTTATTTCCTGACACTTGATTTAAGCTGTACTGTCCTAGCTTACTATTTCAAATTTAAATTTTAATTAAAAGGAATGAACACTTTTAAGTTACATCTCACTAAGAGTTCAGTCATTTTTCTCCACAATTCTACATGCACTCTAACTACAATAATTTTAGACATGCCCTTGATAACAATGTGAATTCAGAAATGAAACCTTGCAACTCTAACATAGAACAAAAAATTCACTGTCACCATTTCAATACGAAAAAAGCTAAACACCACATAGAGACTGTGGCAAGCCACTGTTGGTGCCTACTGCTTTAAGGGCTGGGTCAGGCATCCAGTAGGTGCCTGATGGTGGCAGCCATTTTGTGAACCTAGTACATAAAGTCTGCAGTCTGTTGCTGCCAGCCAAAGTAAATGAGGGGCAAGGAGCCCAGAGTTTGGGATGGAGTGTGGAGCCTAGTGAGACGCTAGGAGCCCAGAGTATGTGAAGGGCATGGAGCCTAGCAAAAGGTAAGAAGACCAGAGGCTAGGAGCCCTGACTGTGTGTGTGGGGGGCAAGGAGCCAAGTATGAGTGAGGGGCATGGATTCTAATGAGAGAGGCCAGAGTTAGGGGCCGAGAGCACTGTGTCACCTAGATGCCATCTGCGAGGCTTGGGCTGCAGTATAGGAGAGGAATGGAGCCACAGATAGTTTTCCCTGGCATCAGGGCAGTCTCCCAAATTATACCAACAGTTTATGGAAACAACAAAGTCGTGGCAGGAAAGACTGGGCAGATTGCCCATAGAAATAGGTGGGTGGGCCAGCATGAGAATGGGCCCCGAGCTTGCCCCCTGTCACAGAGACCCTTTCAAGCCACTTAAAATACAAGCAGATACCAGTATCTTCTGTGGTAGACTATTAAGAACAGTTATCCAAAAATACTTAATAATAGTTATTAACAAATTATTTAAGTTGCAAAAGAAAGATGTGGATGGATACTCTAGATTTAGATCTCCCCCCACAAAAAAAAGTATTAGGAAACCCACTTATGGATAGTAAGAACACTTTAAAAATGCATGTTTTAACTTAAGTACATAGGGTGGACTGAAGTCCCACTGGCATCAGTTGGACAATATGTGTTTAAAGTTAAGCGTATGTCTACTAGATCAGAGTCAGAGCTCAGTATTTGGTACAGTCTAGCCTACACTTCCATATTTTAGAGGCAATATGACAGTATGTCAGTCTCACATCAGTATAAAAATATGATCATATAAATCATTCTTTCCATCCTTTCTATTCCAAGCTATTCTGTTGTTAATTACAAGTCAAGCTAGGTTTAACAGTTCAAACTGAGTCTGCTTAAGACTACTTCTGAGGGGATGCTCATCTTTTGGATGGATTGAGGCAAACTAGCCTGTTGACTTATTTTCTATGACTAATTATTAAGGCTATTAAAATGTATTTTGTAGGCACTTATTTCACTTGGCTCGTGTACAAAAATACCACTCCAAGCAATACACTCCAACTTTATTGCATTGGGTTTTATTATCTGAATTATTCAGAATTGTCAAAACCCTTAAATCAGCTTTCTGAGAGAGTTCTTCCATTCTACAAATATTTCAATGAGACACATATACTACCCAGGAATAATACAGCCATCTCCCAGCAGTGATAGTGACAGCACCATATGAAGGATAAAAATCAGCATTACAATGTGTTCTTTTTCTTTGGTAGTTTATGCAATTGCACCTCACTAGTCCAGGCCCCTAACTTTCGCAAAGGTGTCAAGGTCTCTGTGGATAAGCTAACACCTACTGAGGCTGGGGCCATCTTCTCAAAAGCAGTGTTTCTATACCAACACCTGCTGCCCCAGACAACACAGCTCCTGAGAACACAGGGGAAATCAGAGGGTCTAAGCGTTCAGTCCAAATCAAGAGGTCTAGATTATAGTTTTAGCCCCTACTCGTGAAGCTGCCTGTTTCTCAGAACTGTTTCAGTTCAGTAAGGGAGGCTGATGTCATTGACTCTTTGCTCTAAAAGTTAAGCCCAGAACACAAAAGGACCAGAACACATGACCACCTGTGCTGGAAAGGAAGCTTGCTGACTTTATAAAGGACTACAGACTTCCCGAGGGCAAGTGCCCAAGGTGGATGCCACTGAAGGTGACCTTTCAGTGGGGATAGGATAATTTATTGTATTTCTTGTTATAAATATTTGATTTGAATATGTTTGGTCTGGGAGGCAGTGGGGGAGTGAGGGGTCGGGTGAAAAATGCCATAACATGGGAGGGTCATGGCAAAAAGAGCAAAATTAAAGGTGCCGCTGTGCCACATACTTCTGCCACAATTTAGGTAGGTCCATAAGTTGGAAAGTAAGGCTAGGTTGGGCAGCAGGGACATTCTCCTAAATGAAAAGTGTGGAGGGGGGGGCAGGCAGGAATGGGGATGGCAGGGTGGAATTTTTAACAAAAAATGTAGGGGTATTTGGGGGAGTTCCTCTTATTATTCTATCTTATTTTAATAATTCTATGAATCTATGGATTTAATAAATTTAATAGGTTCTATTTATTCTATGAATCTATAAATATTTTATTCTGATTTTTATAGGTTATTTTATCTTTTATTATAAACAGCTCAGAGCCCTTTTTGTGAAGGGCAGTCAATCTAATAAATAAATAAGATTATGCACACTACTGTACCAAACCTCCCAGGATCTCTGGAATTCATGGCAACTCATGCTGCCAATGCTCCCATGACACCAGATTTCCGAACCTGGAGGGAGCCCCGCAGGCTGGATTCAGCCCACAGCTGGATGTTGAACATTACTAGCTTAATATATTACTGCTGCTGTTTATTATTTGCATTGCAATGTCCAGACAATAGCTCTTGTGTTATATGTGCTCAGTGCTGAAAAACATTGTGGTTGTCATTAGCGTTTTACTGGCTATACTCACTGCCACTCTCAGGAGCATGCCCAAGCATCCAGCTCCTGGCCGGAGAGAATATCACACAACATGCAGGTTGCTTGTGTTATAATTTTGTGGTAAGCTTTAGAAACCTACTACAGTTAAATTCCTATAACCATGTCACAAATGTCCTATTTTAAAAGCTGTCTAGTGTGGAACCCTTATACTTAAGTGATTTGATAAAAGGCAAAAATCCCACAAAACTTGTATTTTAGACCTGTCTAATCTTTTGCCTATTTGAAAAAAAGGTTTCAGAGAAAAATATAGTTTTACTTGCAATCTGAGAAAGGGAGATACAGAAATTGGTGGATATGAATACTAATACCATTTTTACCCTGTCATTTTGCTGAGATGACCTGCTTTTGAAGACTTCCTGAAACAAATCCAATTTTAACATTATAACTAAGATCTGCCACCCATTTAAAAAAATTGCATGAAGAGATAACACGCAAATCAATCAGCTCTCTTGTATAAACTTTCCATACAAAATCTGGAGAAATTAAATATATGTGAATGAAGGTAACCACAAATAGTGGATCTTGATCAGACCACTCCTTACCAAAACTTTCCAGAGCTTTCTAGTTATAGCCTTGTCAGTAACTAAATACCACATGGCAAATAAAGTACTTAAAGTTTTCAAAAAAGGAACGTAGGCTCCACAGATTAGTGCATCATCCTTTCAGAGGTCAAGATAAAAAAATTTACTCCATAATAAGAAATAAGTAGAGATTTTATTTTCTAAACAGAAGAAATGTGAGGTATAAAGTACTTATATCTAAAGCTGTAACATAGAAAGTAACTTTATGTGACATTTTAGGAGTAAAACCAAAAAAAGGAAGCCGATAAGAGATCTTCAAAATGGGAAAGGGTTTTATGCATTCTACCAACAGACCTATAGGAATTTACAAAAGTCTAACATAGGGTGTTTGTCAAATTACATAAACAGTGCTTCTCAGTGTTATTCATGTAACATGACCCTATGTTACAACAGAACAGAGTTTATAATAGTCTTTAATTATACACTAATTGTTCTGCGTAATCTCTGCCCTTCTCTGCATACAAGCACTACATGAGGAGCAAACTGGTGTGGAGTAAGATGGTTAAGTAGTGACTCAGAGGGAAGAGTCGCATGCTGAACCACCGTTATCACTTTCTGCTGTATTCTGGGTTTCCTCTTAGAAGATTCTATGGCTTCTTGTACAATCTTATTCTACTATCTCCCAAAGTACTGTGCACACCTACAAAATAGAGTAGCAGTGAAACAACTGACAAAGTTCATCTACAGATCTCTGCAGACGTTAAAGAAACAGACCCAATAGAAACAGGAAGTTAATTCTGTCACTCAGAACATCACTGTAGGTCAATGTTAGCACAATAGAATTTGAGTATTTATATTCCCACATTTGGTTTCAAGGTAAGCACGCAAGTAAAGAGATGTCTCAAAATCATGAATGCAAAGGTTGCTAAATCACTCAATTTTTGTTCTGTGTTCCCCTGGTATTTCAGGCAATTTTGCTTGATATTTCTGAATGAAGTCCAGGACTCTAGTTTATTGCGTTTGCACCTGCAAAAGAAGCAAGTTTAATGGAACTGGAAAAGGAAAATGCAAAGGAGGCTGTTAGTTCATATCAAAAGTGGATCTCAATGGGATCTCTTTGCAAGATGAGTGACTGGTATCAATTTACTGTTATAAAATATTGTTATAGCAGCAACAATCAAATTTAATTTAATAAAATGTGTTATTATTGTATCCATTCTAGGCTCAAAGACTTACCTTCGCAGTTCTTCTCCATGCTCCCCTGATGGAACAGTCAAGCATTCATCCATATGACCATGCAATAACCTCAGCACATCACCTCCTATCAGATACCCTTGAATAAAGATGAGAAAATCATGGATACCCATCTGAAGTGAACCGCAAGAAACACACTCAAACAACACTGAAGGCTCACTTCCCAGCTTGCCTCCAGTGTGTCCACACCACAGCTGAACATGCAGAACTGGCAGATGAGGTCACCCACTTACCCAATACTTAGGAACACGTATCTGCCAAAAAGCACAAACACGTGTGTATGAAATGTAGATACTATCGCAACCTATATGGAATTGTGAAACTAAGCTGAAAATAAATCCATAATAGCCTAACATAAATCTGAGTTAGAACATCAAGAAATGTAAATCTTTCCTTTCCTTTTTCCGGGGCACAAAGTATTAAAAGCTAGCTGAATTTTACAAGATCCTATCAACATCTTTTACCAGAGGGTGATAGGATAAGACAACATTTCAGTTGATTTTCAGTTTATTTCAATGAGGTTTGTTAGGTATGACAAGCTATACAAGTATTGCTGAAGTGCAATAAATTTAAAGTGTAATCCTACGTTTATCCTTGTTACTAGGTATTTACATCAAGATCTTCAGCTCTAGATTACCTAAGGATTTAACTGTCTTGGTCTTTATATGGCATCATGGGAGAGGAGGTTGGGGGCGTGGACTATCATTAACATCCTAATGCACCAAATCTTTGCATTAGATACTTTGTCCAGGGGAAGAACTTGATTTGCCACCTTATGGAGGCAACCTTGCTTTTGTCTCCCCAGCTGCAGAGCTTGTACCTGACTTTTAAAAAGGTAATATAATTTGGTGCGGGCACTTCTAGCAAAGCCCATAGCCTATGTCCTTGCCTGGACACACCTCATTGCACTGCAGGCTTCCCCCAGAGCCATGCTGCAGCAGTGGTAAGAATCCCTTGCCTGCTTCTGCAAGAACATCCCATTGTCCTCTGAAGATGCTTGGTCTTAACCCCAAGGATTTCCCTCTCAACTTAGTGACTTATTTTTAACATACATTTAAGGGGTCAAAAGGTACAACACCTGTTTGAACTTCTTTAATGTTTTCCCTTTGAGGGACAAATGAGGAGGTAAGTGAAGGTTCTGAGACAGCTCTCCCTTACAAGAAATTCTGTTTTCAAGAGTTAATCTGCAATTTCTTCGCACTTTCAAAAATGAATTTGGGAGCCTTTTGGTACAGAGCCAACATGGAAGAATTCAGCTTGAAAAGAATCCACTACACTGGATGAACATCTCACAATAGGAGGCTAGAAAGGAAATAAGGGTGCTTATACATAAGGAGGGAGGCTCCTCCATTGCTCTGGAATTACAGTTAATTGAGTCTTCTCTGATGCATCTGGCAATTACTGACTCCAACAGCCTCCCACATCTCCTGTATCAGCATCCCCATGCTTCAAAATGGAGGTGGGGGTGCTTTATCTAAAGCTCAGAGCTGCTTTTATTAAAGAGCCCCGCCACACACACACACACACCCACCCACACCCACAGACACTCCCAGAGCATATGTGCAAATGCTCTGTCTAATTTCAAAATACAAAAAGTTTGTAAGGCTACAGATAATACAGCCACATTACCAAGCAATTACTGTGGATGGAATTTCAAAAATAAATAGTAATAGTAGTAGTACTTCAGACATATTTGAAAATTTACTATGTATTAAAGAAAAAATCCTTTTAATCAATCCACTCTAGAATAAAACCAATCATTACTTGTAAGTTTCAATATTGTGTTAGTATTTGGTTCTCTTTTCCTTTTCTATTTAATTTTAAATTCTTTTTGGCTACTTGTTGAAGGCAAACTTTTGACTCTTCGGTAAAGGATTTTAATGTGTTAATTCATTAATAGCTAATGACTACTTTTACATATTTGAATGCAGTGATATGAAGTTATGTTGGTGTTGATGCAGACATACGTTGAGAGACCTTTGCTAACATTTCTCCCCTAAGGTCAGGTATGGCACTGAGCAACACTCTTTAAAAGTTCCCTCGTGCAATTTTGCAAATAGTCCTTTGTTTGATCTCCATCTAAGATTGACTTCCATTAAGAAACTGGTTTTTGCTTCAGACAGGTATGTGAAAGCAATCAATGGACATACTAAGGCCACATTTTTCATTTTACATTTCGTTTTCAATTTCATTCCAATTAGCCTAAATTTCTAGTAAATTCCTAGTCCATATTATGAATTATTATTTTTAACACAGTCATTTGTATGTAACTGAACCATTTCAGGAATCTATGAAAGATAACTTTCTATTTGTATCTACAAATTGACATAAAATGGTAAAGGTCTAAACATGTATAATAGCCAGTATTAGCATTGATTCAGAACAAGCATTCTCTGGAATTATGTGCAAACATTTTGAGATCTTTGCATATAAAATATTTCAATGACATTAGCAAACGAAGTGTTGCCTCTCCACTCTGGGATAGCACATATCTGTGTTTTAGTTATAGATAAACTGAAGCACAAACATTAAAATAATTTGCCAAGATCAGACAGAAAGACTGCACTAACTTCAACATGATTCTTTCCTCCCAGTGAAATGCTCTTAATTACAGTAACCCTTGCTGGGTTGGCTGTAATAAAGTCTTCGCTCCAAATCATTTCTGACACTAGCCAGCTGATCTCCTTGGCATGGGAACATTTTGTTTACATAGATTACCATATTTAACTTGAGTCCACGATGAGGTTTTCCCATCCACCAACATGGGAAAAAACAAGCCTCACCTTGGAATCAAGTACCAACACTCCATGTCTTCCCTGGCCCTGATGTTGGCCTAGGGTCAGAGCTGGAGCCAACAGCAACCCACTGTGTGAGAGTCAGGGGCCAGGCCTTGGGTCTGGGATGGGTGCTAACCTGGGGTGGGGATGGGAAGCAGGATGGGTGGGGCTGAGGATGAGGAAGAGGCAAGGATGGGGGGGAATAGGTCAACAATCAGATGAGGGATGGGGCTGTAGACCAGGTGGAAATCAGGACAATATCAGGCAAGGCATGGAGGGCCAGTGTGGTCAGGGATTGGGTGAGGGAATCAGGAAGGGAATAGGGCAACAGCAAGGGGGGAATCAAGTCAGGGAGCAGGGGTGGAATGGGACAGCAGTGCAGGTCAGGGGGATGAGGCAGCAGTGCATTACTGCCAGATAACCCTTACCTGCTCTGCTCAGAAGTTCAGGTAAGGACATGGGGTAGAAGCATGAGCTAGAGGATGTGACAGCAGAGCACTGGGGGTTGGGACTGCAGCCCACTGGGGACTGGGTGAGGGATGGGGCAGCAACCTGAATGGGGGTTCAGGCAGCTGCAAGGGCTGGGGTGGGTAAATATGCAGCAGAAGCACAGGCTGGGGGGGCAAGTGGCAAGAGGGACGGGGGACAGGCAGTAGGGGCATAGTCATGAGGGGAAGTGGTGAGGGAGCAAGGTGTGACAGTCTGACTGCCTGCCCTTCCTCCCCTATCCTGTCCCTGGTAGTTGGGAACAAATTTAAGACAACTCTTTACTAATTAGATCCTATACATGGAAAAATATAACACATGTATAATTTCCCATTTATAGAATCTAATTAGTCAGGGGAGGTATTAAATTCAACATTGTATTGGATTTGGATAAAGATGGTAAATCAATCTGGTAAATTTCTGTACCTATAAAATAGGAGAAAATGGAAAATTACAGTAATTGAAGCTTCCAGCTTCACTACAAAAATGCATATGAACCTTTGTGCGTCTGAACACCTGGGTGGTTGCTACTTTTCAAACAGAAGACAAACTACTAAGTACAACTCTACCCTGCCACCTGCCAGATTTCAGATTAAATGTAGGAGAGAGGGCTAATTCCCTGTCCTACATTTCAATCCAGCTAGATTTAGCAGATAATTGCTTAACAATTCATCATAGCAGAACTGTTAAGCAATCCTTAGTCTCTAACTGTGCAAAATACTTCCCTTTTCCCTAAAGAACAGTAAAAACATACAGGACAGGTATTAATAACAGTATTAATCAAATAATAAACAAATGAATAGGCAACAACTTCCAAAAAATCAGTATTTTAAGTGTGTCAAGAAACAATGTAAACTGATAAGGTGTTTTTGTTTTGGATCTTAGAAGAAAAATCCTTTCCCCCAATGGAAAAATCAGAAAGTAGGGATTTTTTAAATTTTATTTTAAGGCCTATCAATACAATATTTATAAAAATTATTTCAAAGTAACTAGTTTATAAAAAGCTAGGAATATTTGAATTTCTGGCCCTGACAGATTTCTTTCTTTTTAAAGAAGAAACCTTTCACCTCCATTCTGCCACAAAGGGACTAATGAGTCAGAATGTTATAATTCAGAAATTCTTTGTCCAATTCACTACGAGAATTGAAGAAATGCACAGAACCTAGAAAGAATTTACCATACTACCGTATACAACCTATCCCAAATCTTGTCTTTTTCCCCTAGCCAAACATCTCTTAGCTTTTTCTGAATGAGCCAGCCCTGCTCTTGACTTCTCAGGCTTTTCATCTGAGTCCCATTCCCCTGGCCTATCAGATGCAAGTCTGCTTTCTGGACCCTTCACCCCAATATTGTCTCAGTTCAGCCATTTCTCACCCATGCCCAGTACTAGTCCTCATGGCCTAACCATTCCAATTCTTCCACCTTCCAAGCCCAGGGAGTCCCAGTTCCCTTGAACCAGGCTCCTTGTCTAATCTGACTCCCTCCCCTCCCCAGCTTCTAGTCGCATCCTTTGCCCACATGCCCTACTGCCAATAGCTTCCATTCACTTTATTACATAAAGTTTACATAATTAAACAAAGGAGGTAGGTGATAGGAGTAAATTCTTGCACAGCTAGATGTCTATCACCTTATTGTAATAGGAGTTAGTAATACTTTAAAGACAACATTTAGCTGTTTATAAATGTAACATTTTGCAGAGGGGGCTTAGATTGATTTTTGTATCGATCCCTACCACCTAACCCTCTTGTTTAATTATGTAAAAGTTACAGCATTTCTATTTTCTGTTAAACATGTGATAGTGTGATGGGTAGAAAGGCTTTAGCATCACACATCTGAGCTAACTGAGCTGTATCCCAAATTCAGGCTTATTAAACAACACTACACCAACACAGAATATATGTATTACTGTGTATTGAACAAGGCAGTCTAAGCAAAAGGCTCTACTACTCGAGCTAAAGGACCTAGATTCTTAGTGAGAATCAGAACCAAACCCGCAATCCCAAAAATCATTAGGGAGAGACAAAGAGCCACACTTTAAGCATGGGTTAAATATTCTCCTTATTTATTGTAGCTTTCAGGTTAACATTATATCGTTATTTTAATTTGGGCTACAAGCTATTCTACCTGCTATTATAAATATTAACGTGTCTTCAGGGAAAACAATATTGTACTTAATTTTTATCCTGGAGAAAGACACATGTAGGAAATTATTATTATACCTTACAGCACAGTTTCTACTATCATATTCAAAACAAACTTTTACATCCCTTTGTAAAAGTAGATGTAATATTCTGATCTAACATTCATGTACAAGAAGTCCCACAGCTACAGTTCAGCAATAAATGGCAGTTTATTACGATTCCCTTCCCCACCCTTAAGAATTTAATTCATATCTAGAAATTAACTATAAACACAGCTCAATCTTACCTTGGGCCACTTCGCTTCCTGAACTGATTGGTGCTACACTCCAAAGTGTCTGCTGGAAGGCTGCATCAACATGTAAGCTACCATTGCCATAAGATAAATGCTAAAACAAGGAAAGAGATGGTATTTATAGCTCAGGGTATTTACAAAACATTTTTAGAATGTAATAAAATCATTAATTTAATAATATTCACGTAAGTAATAGTTTCCATGCACTTTACATGCCAGATTTATACATAACCCTTTTTGCAGGGATGCATTTGTGACTAATATAGAAGAAGTAAGATGAAGAGACTTCCTTTTTTTTTTTAACATTTCTTTCATTTATTTAATCATTATATCTGGTGCCTATCAGTTTATTTCAGAACCCTCAATTCTTGATATAAAAACATCAGTCCCTATTTTAGGATAGGCCAGATTTGATCTGAATCTGCAGAGCATGAAAAATGTACATTACCAGTTACCACAACCATGAAAGCAAAAAAGTCAAAGAACTGCATCCTAATAAATGATGTGCCTTCCTTCAATGACAGAAGATGTGCAACTAGTTAATTATACTAATCAAAACATGAGGGGTCAAGGAATTTTTCATGACAGTGAGAAAAAGACAATCCTTCTAAAGAACACAAAAAAGGAACAAGTGTTCACCAATAATAACTATAAGTGAGAACATGCATTATTTTTCAAGATCTTTATAAACCGTCTTACAATTTTATTTGGCAGTAGCCTAGATCACAAATGCATCTGATGACTTTATGACATATAAGAATGAAAGGTGCTTCAGGTGCTTTTAAGGTGCTTGATCAATATTCAATACTAACAGACTAGACATTTGTTACATATCACCAGCTGACTATACAGAACAGAATAAAACAGAACAGACAGAATTTACAGACAGTTACTAAATGGGAGGCAGCAAGGCTGATGATATTTTATTACCTATTTCACCAATACCAGTTTGAGGGTATGTCTATACAGTTATTTAGGGTCAGCACTCAATCAGCCCAGACCACCCAAATTAATCCTCACAACCTCTATCTTACCTTCTGGCCCACATCAAATCCATCTACACTGTGCTTTCAGTTTCATGAGCAAAGAGCTTTTTAAGGAATCAGTCTCATCTCTCCTGTATCAGGTTCCAGGTACGAGCAGAAAAGAAAAGAGGTAGGATGTCCAAGGGACAGAAGGCAGAGGAAGGATGCTGTGAGATTGCTGTTGGCAGACATCCTGTGCTGGTAGTCTGCTCCTCAATCCACATTGCATGGAGGGAAGAGTAGATGAAGCTCCACCTCAGAACTGAAATAATCAGATCTTCCAGAGTCAGGTTGAACTGTGCTAGGGTCAATCTTAAGCATACTCAGAAAGTATGTGAATGAGAGGCCCATACACTTGACCTTATATATCAGCGTAGTTATATCCTGAGTGTTCAGACTGATGGTTACTAGAGCTGTGCGAAGCTTCAGTCACTGATTCAATTCAGAGGACATTTGGCCGGATTGGGTGGCTGAATCTCCAAATCCAGATAGAATCAGGAGACCCGTTAATCTCTCCAAATTGTATCAGAAGCCTCCAGTTCGATTAGGAGAGATTCAGAGGCTCAACTATTCAGCCATAGACACAGCTTTATATGTGTTTTCTACATACCTTGAGGTACCAGGCACGGCTCGTGAATGCTGAGATGGTGGGGCACATGGAGCATCCCACAGGAGCATGGGGGGATCCCCTGCACGCTCAGCGGCAGACCCAAAAGTGGACCAGAACTGCTTCCGGTCTGCTTCTGAGTCTGCCGCAGAGCATGCAGGGGACCCCTCTGCTCCCCAGCTTGACAACTGGTGCCTCCTGGGTCTGGCGGGGTACCCAGGGACCCCCGTGGCCAACTGCCAAGCCAGAGGGACATAGGGGGGGGAGGTGTCCCCCACACGCGTGACGGCAGACCCAAAAGTGGACCAAAAGTACTTCCAGTCCACTTCTGGGTCTGCCGCCGAGAGTGCGCTCCCATGGTATGCTCCACCCACTCCTCCATCTCAGTATTCACGAGCCATGCCTGGTACCTTGAGGTACATAGAAAAAAAACATATAAAGCAGTGTCTATGCCCAAATGGCTGATTCTCCAAATCAGAAAAGAATCTTCAGATTCAGCCAACTCGAATCGGGAAAGTGATCTGAATCAGCAAATCGAATCACTGTCCCCCGAATAGGGCTGAATCCGAATCAAATGCTGCCCACTTTGTACACCCCTAATGGTTACCTTTTTCATTTCTGCATAGGGGTTTGGCACTTGCAGATTCCTGCTCCCTGTTTAACACAAACTTGGTAGGCAGTGATATACCACAAGTCCTTCAGGCCCCCTTTCACAAATCAGTTATCAATCAGGATTCCATTCCCTTTGCCATTCTACATCTGCTGCATTGGTTACCAGGTTTGCTCAGTATCAATGCTATGCAGCTTCAGGTGCTCACTCTTAAATCTTCCAGGAACATAACTGGTTATAAAGAGCCATTGGAGAGGAAAAAATGTGCATGCATAAGGGTAGAGCCAGAAAACAAAGAAAAATACTCTTCTGAGTCAATTAAACGAATGACGAAAGACTTTCATTCTGTTTGCGTTAAAGAACATTGAAGACATGGCTAAAATAATTGAAATAATTAGTCTATATTTGCATTAAAAAGAAAGATGGATGGATAAATGATTACGCACAACATAATGATGCTTTGTGCTCTAAATCAGGGGTCAGCAACATATGGCATGCAAGTCTGATCTGGCCCACAGAGCCACTGGATACAGCCCACATACCTGATTGGCTCCGGCACTGTTTAAGCAGTGGGCGGGTGAGGTAGTAGTGGGGATTTGGCTGTACTGCAGCTGAGCAGCAGACAGTAGTAGCAACAGGGGCATCTGGGACCTTGGACCTGAGCCAGGTTATTCCAGTACACCGCTACAAAACCTTGTAAACCCCCACTCTAAAACAGAGTACAATTTTCTAGGAAACTGTTATTAAATTATGCCAAGGCTCTTTCAGTAGTATATTTCACTTCTACACACAGTGAAACGGTCCAAAGAGCCTAGGTACTAAGGACATGTGCTCACTCAAATATTTCAATTGCAGGTCACCATCCTTCTGGATCGTGCAGTCTTTCTTTTGGGCCATGGATACAAAAATATTGGCTAATCATTTAATTTGTGTAAGACGCACAGAAACAGATTCCCAGAAAGGAATGAAGCCCAACGGATTCACACAAATCTGAGAGACAGCCACCAGTGCCAAGAATCATGCCTGTCCTGGGAAACTGAGGGATGACTATTCATGGATGTGTATGCCCTTGCTATAATATTGTGTGATCTGTTTTGCAAAGCTACTATACATCCCTGGGATAAGCAACTTGTCCACTTACTTCTCTCAGATTTTATAGCCCTTTACACCCAATGAGCACCCTCCTGTATCTGATTCTTGTATCTGTAGCTGTTGAGTAACCAATGAGTACCCTCTTGTATCTGTATCTGTTTTTGCTACTTTTCCAAATAGCGCGAAGTCATATTTTGTCAGATCAAACTTTCTAATTTTAAAGTTTGTAGTTTATTAACTTCAAAGAGTTTGCATCCCACACACTCAGAATGAGTTTCATTAATATTAATTTTGCATCTCTGGAAATGGTGTAATAGCTACTAATGAAACACTGAGAAATGTAAATTCTGTAAAGTACTTGGATTTTAAAAGTGTATTATTTGCTTTATCAGATAACAGTTCTTCATGTATAGTAATATTTGACCACTTTTGATAGAAGTATATTTCAAATATTTGGATTGTAACCATGCTTTGATATCCAGGTGACAGACATTGGAACATCCTAAATTATGTTACCTTGGGCTAGAAATAGACATCCCCAAATGGAGCAGATCGGCTGTACTGGGATGCATCCAGAGACAGCTGATGCACTTAACTGGGCGAAACACGTCACCCTTTGTTCCACCCCTTGATGCTTCAGAACAATAGGCGATGTATTCTCCCAGGGCTTGAGGGGCCTGGTCCTATGCACCCTGGGAATTCCTGTGCAGGATCACAACCCTCAACCCCAGGAGTGCCTGCCCAGCTTTCCCTGCTTACAAAGACATGCTCTGGGAAAGCCCAGGGCATGTCTCTGTAAGCAGGAAAAACTGGGGTTCCCACTTGGAAAAATGTGCCCTGGGGAATCTTGGAGCAAGTCTCTAAGTGGGGAACCCTGGCTTTTGCTGCTCATAGAGGTGTCCCCAAGTTTCCCCAGGGTACATTGCTATAAGAGGGGAAGTGCTCCCAGGGCTTGAGGGACCCAATTCTGAACAGATAGTTAGTCCCACAAAGCATACAGATGTCCACCACTGAACAGCAGCACAAATTAATAGCACCTTTGTCACAGCCACAAATTCAGGGCATTTGTGCTAAGACAAGGGGCATGGACACCTGTTTGTTTGGCCTTTGCTGACATAATTTTTTTTTATGGTGGCACAAAGACAATGAAAGGCAATGTCTTATTCCACCCTTAAGTGCTTATCTAGCTACAACAGAATCTTAAATACAGGGAGATTAATGTAACTTTTACATTTTTTATATATTCATTGTGTCTATATTACATACAAACCTCTGCTTCTCTACCTTAAACAGACCAGAGACTCAGAAGGGAGACATTTAAAACAGACTGATGCTAATGGAGACACTTTTGGTTTCTGTTCTATATCACCTTCAGGATGAAATTATTAGCACTATACAAAAGTAGGAACTGTACTGGAGGTCAAAAAATCCTTTCCAACCACATATTTTAAAGCTACATAAAAATGCAACCATTGCAAGTCTACTCACTGCCATGCCACTGAAATAGATCGGGTAAAAACAACTAATGCAACAAGACCATCTCCTATTTTTTCCACAGGATCTGAATCATTCAGTGAATAGAAGGGTTGGTGCTCAATGAATAAGCAATAATAATGAATAAAAAACTACTCTATATTTTGTTTTCTCCTTGTTTAGTATGGAATACTTTTGCCTCATCAGCTACATGTTAATCAAATCCCACTCTGAATGCAAAATTGCTAATTCCTTTATGGTCTTTTCCTGTGCTTTCTCATCACAGC